TGTCCCCCCGCTGTCCCCGCCCGTGCCGCGGTCACCTCGGTGCTCGGCGGCCGCGGTGGCCTCGCTGCGCATGGCGCTGCCCACGAAGACGCCGTGGCGCCAGTTGAAGGCCTCGTAGATCAGGGGCACCCCTGGGGGCACCACGAGGGCGTCACCACGGGGGTGTCAGAGGGTGGGGGTCACCCTGTGGGTGTCACTGGACAGGTGTCCCCGTGTGGGTGTCCCCAGGGTGTCCCTGTGTGGGTGTCACTCTGTGGGGGGTCACCCTGTGGGTGTCACCATGGAGCGTGTCACTATGCGGACGGCACCATGGAGCTGTCACCATGAGGGTGACACTACATGGGTGTCCCTGTGTGGGTGTCACCATGGAGGGTGTCACCGTGCGGGTGTCACTGGACTGGTGTCTCTGTGTGGGTGTCACCCTGTGGGTGTCACTCGGCAGGTGTCACCCTGTGGGTGTCACCATGGAGGTGTCACCATGAGGGTGACACTACATGGGTGTCCCTGTGTGGGTGTCACCATGGAGGGTGTCACCGTGTGGGTGTCCCCAGTGGGTGTCCCCGTGTGGGTGTCTCCATGTGGGTGTCGCCATGCAGGGGTGGGTGTCACCATGGATGGTGTCACCATGGATGGTGTCACCCTGGTGGTGTCCCCAGGGTGTCCCCGTGTGGGTGCCACAAGTGTATCACCATGCAGGGTGTCACCCTGTGGGTGTCAGTAGGCAGGTGTCCCTGTGCGGGTGTCACCCTGTGGGTGTCCCCAGTGGGTGTCCCCAGTGGGTGTCCCTGTGTGGGTGTCCCCATTTGGGTGTCACCCTGTGGGGGTCACCATGGAGGATGTCACCATGTGGGTATCACTGTGGGGGTGTCTCTATGTGGCTGTCACCCTGTGGGGTGTCACTCAGCAGGTGTCACCATGGAGGGTGTCACTGTGGAGACGTGGGTGTCACCATGGTGGTGTCACCCTGTGGCTGTCCCCAGTGGGTGTCCCCGTGCGGGTGTCCCCAGGGTGTCCCCAGTGGGTGTCACCCTGTGGGTGTCCCCAGGGTGTCCCTAGTGGGTGTCACCCTGCGGGTGTCCCCAGTGGGTGTCACCTTGTGGGTGTCCCCAGGGTGTCCCCAGTGGGTGTCACCCTGTGGGTGTCCCCAGTGGGTGTCCCCATGCGGGTGTCACCCAGTGGGTGTCCCCAGGGTGTCCCCGTGCAGGTGTCACCCTGTGGCTGTCCCCAGTGGGTGTCACCCTGCGGGTGTCCCCGTGTGGGTGTCCCCAGGGTGTCCCCGTGTGGGTGTCACCATGGATGGTGTCACCCTGGTGGTGTCACCCAGTGGGTGTCCCCAGTGGGTGTCCCCAGGGTATCCCCAGTGGGTGTCCCCGTGTGGATGTCACCATGGAGGGTGTCACCCTGTGGGTGTCCCCAGTGGGTGTCCCTGTGCAGGTGTCACCCAGTGAGTGTCCCCAGGGTGTCCCCAGGGTGTCCCCGTGTGGGTGTCACCCTGTGGGTGTCACTGGACAGGTGTCACTGTGTGGCTGTCTCCCTGTGGGTGTCACCATGGATGGTGTCACCCTGGTGGTGTCACCCTGCCAGTGTCCCCAGTGGGTGTCCCCAGTGGGTGTCCCCAGTGGGTGTCCCCAGTGGGTGTCCCCAGCGTGTCCCCAGGTCCCCCGTGGCCGCTCACCGCGCGGGCGCCGCCCGCCGAAGATGATGGCGTCGATGGGGACGCCGTCGGGGTCCTCCCAGGCCGGGTCCATGACGGGGCAG